GTCTCGAGCTCCTGACCTCAGGTGATCTGCCCACCTCAGCCTCCCAAAGTGCTGGAATTACAGGCATGAGCCACTGCAACTGACCCTGAAAACCCATATTAATGTTAATATGTTCAAGGATAAGGAAAATTAGATGAGTTACAGTTATCTTTCAAATGAGTTTAAAAGAGGAAGAGTTTAAAAGCATCTATTACACATAAGATACATAATAAAACATAATAGAACTCTAGGAATAGCAACAGTAAACTTGTCAGATAAAAAGGAAAATCCAACATGTGTCAGAAATAACCATTTATTGTGGACATCGTAGTGGCTTCTATTAAAAAAGATCTCCTCTAAATTTCAAAATAAAACACAATAAATTGTAGCCTACAAAGATATGTTTACAAAGAAAAAAACAAGCACACAATACAAAGTAGTAGTATTAATTGAGTAATCACCCAGCAAAAAGAATATTAATTTATGCTATTACTATTACTAAGGAAATGCTAACACAATAAACTCACCGTCAAACTAAAATACATACTAAATAAATATTTAAAGCCATTAGAAGAGAGAAGGAAGACAACAACACAAAATCACAAATAAAACAAGGAAAAGATAAAATAAAATAAATTTTTGATAAAATAGCAGTAATATTAAGAGTACTTTGGAAAAAAATAGTGAAATTTATGCATTTGAATTTAAACAATTTATCAAACACTGAGAAATATGTTAATAAAATTTGGAATAAAAAACTAAGAAACCCAGCAATTTACTTGTGTTTATATAACATTTGTTATTTTATTCAATCTTCAATGATTTAAACCAGTGTCCAAATCTCCTAGGAAATTGAGACCTTCAGTGGGATGGAGGGGAGGTCCTGTTCATGTTTCAGTTACCTATATAATAAGTGTTCTGTAAATGTTTTTAAATGAAAGAGAATGTTGAGAGAGTTCTAGGTTATAGGAAAAGAAAAAGAGATTTAAAAAAAATACAAAAAGTAAATAATTACTTAAAAATAAAACTACCTTACTTTGGCATATTTACTGGACAATTTTTCCAAACACTGAAAAAGAGATAGGGAAGATAAGAATGAAGTATTATTTTTTGAGAGATAAGTGCTAGGCACCATGCTCAGAGCATTACATTAAAAGAGGAGAGAGAGAGAGAGAGAAAGAGAGAGAGAGAGGTGAAAATTATAACAGAAGACACTGATTTATCAATGCTTGTGAGTAATAAAATTATGACACTAGAAAATAGGATAAAAGTAAATACTAAAACAAATTAAGCTCTTTTTGTTGTAGAATCTAAGGAAACCCCAAGCATTGCAGTTAAATTCTTAAATACTAGTGACAGCTAGAGTGTGAAATGAATGGATTCCATTTCTGGCAGCAAAAACTGAGTACCTACAAGTCAATGCATTAAGAAAGAGATGTTTTTTAAACACACACATACCCCACCCTAAATGTACAAGAACACACCCATCAGTGGAGAGGGAAAGCCTCTATGAGATTGAAAAGACTTTAAAATACCTACATTATTCTAAGTAGCAACCCATGTCAGTGGTATTATTTCTGAGTCCTGTCAACCCCCATCCACACTCCATCTTAACTTCCACCACTAGATTGAATTATCCTAAAATAGAAACCCCATGATACATCCAAAGGTCTAAAACCTCTTCATCCCCCAAACTCCACCCTTGCCATAGCACAGAAAAGATCAAATTCCAAAGTCATACAAGTGGCCCCATCCATTCTTGATGTATCTCTACTTACTTTTTAAGAAATTCGTAATTATTAAGTTTTTGCTGTTATTTATGGCAGTAAGAACATTTACCATAGGACCTGTCCTTTTAACAAATTTGTAAGTGTACAGTATCGTTAACCATAGGCATGATGTTGTACAGCCAATCTCTAGAACATACTTTTCTTGCATAATTGAAACTTCATATATATTGAACAATAACTCCCCATTTCATCCTCCTCCCAGCCCCTGGAAGCCACCTTTCCACTCTCTGCTTCTATGAGATTATTTTAGGTATTCGTGTAAGTCAAATCATACTGTATCTTTCCTTCTGTGAC